CCCCCCCCCCCCCCCTTATTGGGTAAAAAAACAAACATAAGCGCATCTAGAAGAAAAGCTGACAAAAGTATACACCCAAAAATACCTCGAGGTTACGATCCGCCATTGCGGTAATAAACCAAGCTTCAACTAAATGTAGAAGAACCTGATAGGAACTCAACTGGTTTTTCTTGAAAAGTTTCGATCACTCAGTCTTTTGAAGCGAGTGGTTACAAAGCATTTAACTATGTAACAACTCGCTTAGAGCGGCTTTCCGATGGTTATGATTTCGTAGAACTTCGGAGCTCAAGTCTGTTACGTCGGTGATGAACATCTCATTTTGAGAGTTATCTATGGTCAGTTGAATATTCTAGAGAAAAACCAATCACGGTGCAATCATTTTCTTCTTCCCTACTTAATCGGAACGTGAAATGAACACGCTTGTTCTATGTTTTGATTTGTTTTCAAGGTCACTACAGCTATTACATTGGCCTCACCTATTTTAAATGGTTAGCTTGAAAAAAAAATATGTCTGTTTGAATACTATAGTTAAGGTTATTGTGTTTGATGACTTTGAAAAATCTAAAGCTACAAGTACTTTGCAAAAAGGTTTTCCTTGATACAAATTTATCCTCCCTTGTGTGACACTTTTGGCCAGTACAAACATCATTTATTCACAAAATTTCTTTTAGGCACCCGGCTGATTTGTTTGTGTCCATTAATTAGCCCACACCATGGCCAGTTTTCTAGTTTTAGGAACATTTTTCATCATTCAGTTTTTTGAATTATTTGAAATGCGTGTTTTCTGGTTCTAGTCCAACGTTGAGAATATTCAAGTAATCAAGCTGACTACTGATCATTGTTTTTAATAACGGGCAAGAGGTTCAAAATTGCTCCACCACAGCCACCTGTCGACGGGCCGTCCTAGTCTATCTTCTAAAAAGCTTGGATAATACTGATATAGAATTTTAAACTCCTCGTAGTCATCGTTATGTAAATAGAAATGTAAGTTTTCGGCTAACGCACTGCTGACTTCAGAGCACATTTCATAAAGGTACCTTGCAGAAATATCATTTTCATACTGTTGAATGAGTAGATTCAACTCGCTTGCATCCACGAAATGTTGTCGATACTTGTAAAAAGCCTTTTTGTAACAAGATAACAACCCAAATACTTCAAGATGCCACATCTCGAGCAAATATAAAATAGTATTCTCTAACTCATTTTTTCTGTGAAAAATGTATTTTTGGCGCGAATATGTCGAGAGCCTTACGTTATACTTTCTGACTTCATTTGAGCAGGGGTTCCTTGATATTCTTGAGCGAAAACCTTGTCGTTTCAAAACTAACAGCTGACGTTGTAATTCAGAGTCAAGGGTACGAAATTGACCAAAACTCGTCATTTGCGTTAAAAGTATGGATCCACAGCCCCTCGGGAATGTAATCTCATCCCCAGAAGACGATAAAAATTCAATGAAAAAATTACGAACTTTAATCCTTGCAATAAGGTTTCTGTACTTTGGAATCCAACCGTGCAATCGTGTATAGATTACTTCGCATTCCGCATCTCTACTTGGATATTGCATCCGAGCTCCCTGATTTTTAATAAACTGCTCAATTTCTGCCCATGGATTAAAATAACCATGGATAAAGCTTATGTGTTGAATGCCGTACATCTTCGCTAATTACATTGGGGTGATACCGTTTTTGTTAGGACAATCGACATCTAACTGATGAAGTTCCTTATCTTTAAAGATCTCTTGAATGAAGTGCACCAGACCTCGCGAGGCTGCTAAATGGTAGAGAGTCAGCTCAGCTCTGCTAGAATCACATATAATTTTGTAGCCACTTGTTACCATTCTATGGTGAAGAAGATCTAGCGCCACAAGAGAGGCTCTGTAAACCCTCTCTTCATCGAAAGACAACCAGGACGTATTTCCAGCATGGAGTAGGGCCAATGTCAAAGCATCGTATCCGTGTGGGCTTAGTGAAGACTGATCTGCACCCAGATGTGTGAGGATAGAAACGGCGAGTGTGTTTGCGCCTTGTGCGGCTCTGTGTAGCGGTGTAAATCCTTCGGCATCTAAACATGAGTCGATTACCCTGTATTTCAAAGGATGATTTTCAATGGCTATTAATATGGGCCCCTTTCTCCGAGAAAGTGAATAATCATCGCTAGAGATTTGCTGAAATAAATTATCCTCTTTCAGGGTTGGAGGTTTATAAAAGAGTAGATGAAACTCTGAGATGTTAAATGGCTCTCCAAACTCAATATCTACTGAAATATCAAAGCCTTTTAGGATACCGTCTACCCAGTAACCGCCGCCATGAAGGTAAGTTAAGAGAGGTGTCCTTCCTTGGTTATCTTCGCATTTGACGCTTGCTCCCTTCAACAGCAAAAGCTGAACAATAAGTAGCTGATTTTTCTCAATAGCAATGTTTAACAAGCTTTCCCCAGAATGATTACAATCTTTCAAAAACGCCCCAGATGAGAGAAGAAGATACACGACCATTTCGTGATCACGCAAGTGCTTTTGAAGCTCAAACATGCTCTTTCCAGTGTGTAAGATCCGTTCTCTGGGTGCGACCGCAGCGTTCTTGATAGCTGCGACTAATGGTGTCTGACCAGACTCATCAGGAAGTTCAATCTGCGCTTTTCTTTGCAGAAGGACATTAACAGCATCAGCCAAACCATTTGCTGCAGCCAAGTGCAATGCTGTACGGCCGTGTGAATCAACTGCATTTAAATTAGAGCCGTGGAGGATCAAGTTTATGAGAGCATCTAACCATCCATAGAAGTTTGTGTTCTTAATGTGGTTGTTCACGAGCTGACGGTAGAACTTAGCAAGATAACCTCTACGGTCAGTAATGCTTCGTGTTTCGATATCGAAAACGTAGTCATTCAATTGGGTGGAATTTACATAAAGGATGCAATAATGTAATGCTGTGAAGGCGCTGTCATCAGCTGCTTCTAGGATCGCCCCGTGGTAAAGTAGCCGGTCAATTACCTCTGAAGCCCCACAAACCGCAGCACTATGTAGAGGAGTCGATCCGTTATACGTTTTGCTATTAATACCAGCACCAAACTTCACAAGAACATCCACCATGTCTGCTTGGTTATGGCAGGCGGCTACGTGCATTGGGGTCGCCCCAAAGCAGTCTTTAGCCTCAACCACCGCGTTATTTTCTAGAAGATTACTTGCAATTTCCCAGTTGCCATATCTCGCTGCGAGATGTAGAGATGAATATCCACAGTGGCATACATCTTTTTTATATTCCTTTAATTCGCTGTGACTCACGAGTAATTGCAAGAAGAAGCTAGACATCTCTTGAAAACGATTGCATGTTGCGTGAATCTCTGTCTGATCTTCCTTCAGGAGAAAATTCACAATATCTTTTTTGTTTCTACGAACTGCTTCTTGCAAGGGCGTTCTTCCTGAACAATCCTGACATGCAAGCGCCCCCTTGTCCCTAGAAATAAGCTCTTTAACCACCTCATTATGGCCTGAAGATATTGCTGCATGGAGCGTAGTTTCACAATACATTAAATGTTTGTCATCGAATAGCTCGCCATACGAAGTAATACCATTTTGTGGGATGCTTTCCTCTTCTCTGATTCTGTTTATACTATCAACGTATCGAAATCTTTTAAATCGGACTTGGCGGTGCAATGAATTCAACCAGTAGAAAGAGCCATCACACTTCATGCATTCATCCTTAACACCGATTTCTAAAAGATATTTTACCACGTCTAACTTGTTGTTTTTGGCTGCATGATGAAGAGCGGTTTGATCTGCAACTCCACCCGCCTTGTGTAAGGCTTTCACAACTTCCACATGTCCTTTCTCTGCGGCCGTCTGAAGAGCCGTTAAGTTGACTTCGTTCACCGTATTAATTATTGCGCCGTTGCTTAGAAGGAAGTGGACAACATTCAGATGACCTGCATGAGCTGCAGCGTGAAGCATGGTGGCCCCCCTGAATTTCGATTTCGATTCCCTGACCAGATCGGGAACATCATAGAAACTTTCAAAATCCAGCCACGAAAGGGTTTTTGTTTTTATATTAACATTGGCTCCCCTATTCACCATTAAAGCCAGATTATTTACCAGTCCGTGCTCAGCCGCTAAAAAGGTGGCTGTCATCCCATGGATATCAGTGGAATCGATGTGGTTGAAATGATGCAACAATAGCTTCAGTACGTCTGTATTATTTATCGTTGCTGCAAGGTGCAAAATTGTTCTATTACTTTCAATATCTGAAGAATTGATCAACTGAGAAGGAAAAGTGAAAAAGTTCTTCACGTATGCCTCCTTCGTACCGCCGTAAGCAATGTGTTGTGCCAAAGTGAAACTGTACTTCGAAAGCGCGGCCTCTCCTCCCTCGGAAATTATTTTAAAGAAGAAATCGCAAAGTCTTTCGTGCCCCCTCATCTTGCTTACGTAAAATAGCCCATTTTTGTTTTTATCACTTGTGAGCCACTCGCCCAGAGATAAATGATACAGTGTTATTGTGTCATCCACTCCGTATCTTAGAAAATGTCCAAGCTCGTTCAGTATGTTTTGAAAATCATACTCCTGTTCCAGGTCTGCTTCCTTCATTTCAAGAGCATCAAAAACTTGTCGCCGTGTCAGTGGCTGAAACGTTGCCACAAGTAATTCCAACACCCTTCGTACAGGTCTGAACTGTTCCTTTCTGTCGTACATTCTTTGGAAGAAATTGTGATACCATTCCTCCATATTTTCGGGAAGTGCATTTGGAAAACTTTTTGGATCCCAATACCTGATCATTTCCTTCACAAACAAAAAATTTCCCTGACTTTTGCGTAACAAAATAGAAATCCACTTCTCAGTGTCTGCTATGCTAGAGTCCTTTAAGTCAGCGTCACCGCCTTGAAGGAAAAAATCGTCCTTATAAAATGCTGTAAATAAAAACATTTCGATGTCGGCAATGTTACGAGGATCTTCAGGGTCAATGGTGAACTTTTTTATGCGGCGTGAATTCACGGAAATGCTTGAGTCCTTGCGAGAGGTCATTACAAGCTTCAGCCAAGGTGGAAAATTAGGAAGTTTAAGGTTGAGCAAATGGACAATACTCTGCCTCAATTCTGTTTGTGTGAGGCATTCATCTAGACCATCAATGACAACATACCAGTTCTCTTTAGGAACATTCTTCAGTCGTTTCAACGGTGACAAAACGGCTTGCTCAAAACAACCTAAAGGATCTTCAATGGTTACACAGTCAGTTTTTAGCGAACTCAGAATGTAAGAGCTATTGGCGACAATGTAACCATATTCAGGGATTCTCCGTGCTACCATGTCTGCTAAGTTACGAACAAATTTTCCTGCTATCTGCGTATTCTTATCGGAGTGTTTACACAAGTGGTACCCTAAAATACGGGTATGAATTATACGACTTGAACTTCGGGAGCAAACCAATTGGGCAGACAGAGCAGATTTTCCACTTCCAGGATCTCCGATGATCAGGACTCCATATAAATCATTATCATGGACAGTACAGTTGAATACAGTTTCCAAGTCACGAAATAGCCAAGTACGGCCAATAAACTTTTCTTTTGCACTGTGTAAGTAGTCTAACCAATCAAATTCTTTTGTGTCAAATTGGACAAGAAGATCTTCCGAGGGGCATTCTGCGAAAATAATGTTATCCATCATCGTCAACAGCAGCCTGTTTTCAATTCTTGAAAAATTTCTTCATATCTTTCGTTGGACAGAGAGTTGTCGGCATTTAGAGAGGTTATTTTTTTACGCGAAAGGGTAGGGGTTGCACTAACTATTCAGTGCACTTAAGCCAGTAGGCCTGATCAAATTTTGTCGGCGTACGCTGACCACGAAAACATTTTACAGTTTTGATTAGATCGAGGACTGAGGTAACGTCCAAAGTGCAGCATGGTCAATAGTTAACAAAAGAAGGAACTAAATAATACGTGCAAAAGAACTTACTGATAAAAAGAAAGTTGTGGTTATTCACCATGTAGTCACTTGTTTCGGTTGTGAATCCCAATGTTTTAACTGTATACCGCTAATCATATTCAGGCGATGATGGCGACTAGATGCGAGTCACCTTTTGAAACATTATGCTCGTCCATATTGAACATGATTGACCCGATTATATGGTTCCCAACTCCAAAATCAATGGGGAGCTGTAAATGTGGCTTTCACCAGCTCGTCAAGATAAAATGAGTTTTAACTTTAAAAAAATTAATTAATTAACACTTACCGTTTCTGAAGAAAGTTTCATCATCCAGTTTGACAAAGTAAGTACAACAAAGAGCCATTAACAAATACATTACTAAAATTTCTTTTCTGATCCCTTTGAGATTTCTAACAAACTTGTTGTGAAAGCTTTCCAAATCTTCAAGCTTCACTCGAGAAAGTGACAATAAACCTCTCTTTCGCTCAAGGTTTTCGAATCTGTTTTCCAAAACTAACACTAGTTGTTTCAGTTGGTGTAACTCCGTTTGGCTTGTTTGAGAATGTTGAGTAAGCTGTTCAGCAAGGTGAAAAATCTCATTGTTAAGCACTTCGATGAGCTCGGATACGACTTGAACTTCACAGCCATGCAAGTCCGAGGCGTTTTTAAGAACTTTAATTTCTCTTAGTGCTTTCTGTGCGTCTGGATCTGGGACTAGTTGAGGACTTTTCAGTAGGTTTTCAATAGAGTCAAATGCGACAGGCTTTTCTACGTCCGGCAACTCAAGCTTCGGCACATGCACCCATTTGTCGTTTCGAATGTCGCGGACATCTTTAATCAAAGCAAGAGGAATGGTGAAGTGATTACACCAGTGCATTAGGTTTAAGATACCGGTAACGTCCATGTCGTTGGCATTCTTGATATCAGCATTTCCACCTAGATCAGGAAGGAAGAGTTTGGCCATTTCCCACGGACCAAGAGCTGGGTCCATCCATTTGGCTGGATCACTTTGTTTCCAGTTTGGTTTGTTTCTATGGTGATAAGCTTCAAGTATGTTTGTCCATGGGCATGTAGTCATATCGTGGAACTCATTTGGTCTTCTTCTCGAGACATGGACACATGTGCAGGGTCCAGGAACTCTTGCCGTTAAATTCCTATGGAAAGCCTCCATTTCTCTCGTAATAAACGGACGAAGTCCCTGGCAAAGGACTGTTGTCAAGGCATGACCAAGAGCGAGCCAGTTTCTGTATTCTGGTTTAACGAGTTGTCCTGTCGTTCCTGGTGTGCTTGAGGACGCCATATTTAAACGTATTGGACTGCACAAAGAAAAATAACACGAAACATCACGCTACAACGATATCTTTCTTTGCTCCGTCATGCATACAATTATTTAATGCATATTTACACTTATCATGAATAATTCTTTTAAACAGTTTTTTTCCAGCTTAAATTGAAATTACGGGCTTAAAGTTAATTTCAAAGGTTCAGCGAAGTTCTTCGCCGACCTTCAATCGCTTTAGCCGAAAAGAGCATCGTTGATCGTCTCTTGGCTCGTCAAGCAACCGAGAAAGCCGCTCTAAATCGTCGCATTACGAGTCTAATTTGGACTCATCATCAAAGGTGCATAAATGTGGAAGTCAACACTTATGCCCAATAAGAAAATTTGCTTTGTAAAGTGCTCGATCATACATTCGGTTTTTATCTATCGCTTCAGTTTCGTTGGCTTGATGAATACTTTTTCCGTTGCAAACTGCTTTGAAATATAACTTCTCTACGCTTGGTGAATCACTGAAGTGTCCAAGGAGTGATAAGGATTGTTTTTGTGTTTAGCATGTTTAGTGAAAGAAACCAAAATAGCAACTATCAAAAAACTACATATTCTTTGTCTTAACCTAATTCGAAGGCTTGGCATCAGCGAGCACCCATTGCTCCGCAATCCATTCGCTTTGCACGTCTAGATCTGCAGCAGTATTTCCTACTTATTTACAATTAAAGCATCAAATAACAATTCCATTAGCTACCTTGTAGACTAAGAAAAACCTTTGTGGATATCTTACAGGTGTTTCCGTTGCCTGGCTAAACCTACTGGTTCATAATTTCCCGGAAATTGTCTGACATTTTTAAGAACTGCAAATTTCGAGTCACAGACTTCTCCATATTATATGGATTACGCTAACCTCACAGCATTCATTAACAGCTTGAAACTTTTTTAAGAAGATGAAGGGGAAAGAAAATCAACCCAAATGTAGAATAATAAAATACCTGTAGGGATGATACCTTCGGTCTGAAGTACAACACGATGAGAGCCAGATTTCTCGGGGTGAAGACTGCTCGGAATTTAGCAAATTCGGACTGAAACTGCCTTGGGGTCGAAAGCGGAAACGATATGCAAATTTGTCGCATTTGATAGCAGTCGATAATGGCAGGGAGGATATAAAATTAGATGGCGAGATATTCTCCCGCTCAGATTCCCCCCGAAAGGAAAATCACGTTACCCTCTTTATCTAATTCAACCATTTAATAGTAAATTTTTACCAAGACTGACTCATTTTTAAAACGCACAAGGAATAACTCCATAGTCAGATACGGTCTGTAAAATGGTTCACTATCAGTGACGACGCAATTCCTTCAAGTCGGTACACTAAGGAATAAATTTGACGAAAAGCAGAGGTTGTTCTGAATAACAAAATAATCAGCGGACCTCAAAGTCCCATTTTACACAGTCAATCCGTGAGTTCAAGTGTGTAATCATCTTACTACTCGTTGATCGGTTAGCTAGGTAGTTAGGTGTTTAAAACTCTCGCTATTTTTGCAAAATTTCCCTATGAAGAACTTCCTAGTACCCATTTCCAGTTTTGGGTTGAGAAATGCAACTGGCTTGAACAAAGATCTATCGATCAGTCACCCATTATTAACAACTAGCCCATTACCTCATCTCTTTCACGCGTTAAAGCGTTACGTTTCCCCGATACATGAAAACCAAACTTACCGGTCATTTCAGAATTCTGCTTTCATTGGGACTTTATTTAAACTAAAATGCACATTTTATGTGTTCATAGAGAGGAACTGCCTTATCTTGCAGAGTTCTCCTTTATCTAATCAGGAACTGACCAGCAAAGGAAAAACTGCGAAGGGTCAGAAAAAAACCGCGACGGAGTTGTTCCTCGGCTTTTTCTTCGCTCATATAAAGCGTTCCAAGCCAACCACTTGGTTCCCATTTGTGTATTTTGAAAAGTCAGTGTTGGCGAAAGGTTGAAACTAGCAGTGCAAAGAGAAAAACGATGATTGGAACCCTGAATGGTATTGGCTTGTCCCGAGCACCAGTAGCTTTCTTTTGAGTTCGTTTTCTATTCTCGTCGAACCCCAGAGGGGTCTGTTAGGCGAAAAGAGCAGTTTTACCACATATTTTCCTACTTATTCTTACTTTTTTACTCGGGACAACAAAATAGACTCTATATTGAAAGCATTTCCTTAGTTCATTAGAGTCAGAATAAACTTAATTTTTTTCAAAACCCTTTTCTCACCTTTTTCCTATTAAGTTATTGCAACTAAGGGGTGTGAGTGAACGACTTACGTCACTTGAGTCTTACAGCCAATAACATCACGGCAAAACCAACCGATCATTTCACACGAACTGGAATAAGAACATTCTACTGACAACAATCATTCACTTGACTCTGATGATGACTTCCGCACAGGTTGTCGAAACGTCAGTCACT